AATGCCCAGCTGCCTAATCATATTTACCAAACAAATGCAGGAAAAAAGTATGGGAAAATGCTTCCTGCCGCATCCCTACTACCCTCCCCTCTTACCCCCCATCACAATGTTCTTCACAAGGAAGCCTGCAACTACCCCTGCCGCTACCCCTACTGCTTCACCTGAACCTTAAGCCATGGCTGAATCTAACTCCATTGCTAACTCTGACTCTAGTGATGTTGGCGGTGACACTGGCAGTGAGGAGTTAGAATCCACAAACTAGACTCATCATGCCATGCAGTTATTTTTTTTTTATTACCACATCGGCCGATTCCCACCAAGGCAGGGTGGCCCGAAAAAGAAAAACTTTAATCATCATTCACTCCATCAGTGTCTTGCCAGAGGGGTGCTTTACACTACAGTTTATAAAACTGCAACATTAACACCCCTCCTTCAGAGTACAGACACTGTACTTCCCATCTCCAGGACTCAAGTCCGGCCTGCCGGTTTCCCTGAATCCCTTCATAAATGTTGCTTTGCTCACACTCCAACAGCATGTCGTGTATTAAAAACCATTTGTCTCCATTCACTCCTAAAAAATACGCTCCTGCATGCTTGCTGGAAGTCCAAGCCCCTTGCACACAAAACCTCCTTTACCCCTACCCTCCAACCTTTCCTAGGCCAGTCCCTACCCTGCCTTCCCTCCACTACAGATTTATACACTCTCGAAGTCATTCTGTTTCATTCCATTCTCTCTACATGTCCGAACCACTTCAACAACCCTTCCTCAGCCCTCTGGACAACAGTTTTGGCAATCCCGCACCTCCTCCTAACTTCCAAACTACGTATTCTGTGCATTATATTCACACCACACATTGCCCTCAGACATGACGTCTCCACTGCCTCCACCCTTCTCCTCGCTGCAACATTCATCACTCTCATACATTCCCCTCTTTGCTTCCATGGACAAAGTTCTTTGTCTCCACAGACTCCTAAGTGCACTGCTCACCCTTTTTCCCTCATCAGTTCTATGATTCACCTCATCTTTCATAGACCCATCTGCTGACACGTCCACTCCCAAATATCTGAATACATTCACCTCCTCCATACTCTCTCCCTCCCTTCTTCTTTTACATACCCAACCAAATTCATCCACCAACCTCTGCAACTTCTCTTCAAAATCTCCCAAGAGCACTGTCAAAAGCAAAAAGCAGCTGTGACATTCATTCATTCATTCATTCATTAGGGATTTGCCGGTACTTCCGGCCCAGGTCTTCTCCAGATGGCGACCCGGCGGTGGTTGTCGTTCATCTTCTTCTTTCTTCTGTCTTCTTTCTTGGGCCCTCTGGCTGGAGGGTGAGAGCAACTGTGACAGCTCCCACTTTGTGTTAGATTCTTTATCTTTTAACTCCACACCTCTAGCCAAGACCCTTGCATTCACTTCTCTTACAACCCCATCTATAAATATATTGAACAACCACGGTGATATCAGACATCCATGTCTAAGGCCTACTTTTACTGGGAAATAATCTCCCTCTTTCCTTCATACTGTAACCTGAGCCTCACTATCCTCCATGCAGTTACACTCCATATAATCACCTCCATTCAACTGTCATCAGTAACTGCATGACTAACTATCATTATCATCATCACAAGTTGTCAGAGTTCATTTGCCTAACCTTACAAGTGGTGAGTGTTTTGTTTGTTCATTATTTATTAGTATTACTGTCATTACTCCCTATATCATATCTTGTATACTTATTTATCCTTTTTTTTCTTAAAATATGTATTACCTGTAACCAAACCCCATTCTATACAAAGTTCAATCTAAGGCCCCCCCCCATTATCATTTACACCTGGCACCCCAAACTTACCTACCACACCCTCTCTAAACGTCTCTCCTTCTTTAGCATTTAGATCCCCTACCACAGTTACTCTCTCACTTGGTTCAAAAGTTTCTACACACTTGCTTAGCATCTCCCAAAATTTCTCTCTCTCCTCTACACTCCTCTCTTCTCTGGGTGCATACTTATTTTGACCCACTTTTTGCATCTGACCCTTACTTTAATTCACATAATCCTCAAATTTTTACGTTTATATTCCCTCTTCTCCTCCCATAACGGGTCCTTCAACAACTTTGTTTTGCTACCACTTCCTTAGCTCTAGTTAGTAAGTTTATTCAGGTATACACAAATACAATTACATAGATCATACAGAGCAGCATATGTGTAGAGAACCTAGGATAACCCAAAAAAAGTCAGACGAAGTGGCTTATTTCCATTGGGGTCCTTTAACTCTCTCAGATGCTCCTGATTTAATCCCATTTATTTCTTCCCACTGAAACTCCCCTACCCCCTTCAGCTTTGTTTTGCTTAGAGCTAGGACATGCAACTTCTTTTCAGTCATAACATTAGCAATCATCTCTTTCTTATCATCCACATTACATCCATGCACATTCAGACATCCCAGTTTTATGATTTTTTTTTCTTTTTTAGTAGTAGTTTATACAGGAGAAGGGGTTACTAGCCCATTGCTCTGGCATTTTAGTTGCCTGCTACGACATGCATGGCTTACAGAGGAAAGATTCTTTTCCACTTCCTCTGTGTTTTTTAAGAGTTCATGTGATGTGGTAGGTAGGCAGGTAGGTGTGACAGATGTTTTCAAGTGTGTGTGTGTTTGCATTTATTTTTTACACACACACATGCACATGTGCATGTACATTCACTTAAGTATAGATCTACATTCTAAGAACATTTTATTGGCAAACCTTAGTGGGTTAACTTAATCATGAATATTACAGTTTTTCTTTTTAGGTCACCCTGCCTTGGTGGGATATGGCCGGTTTGTTGAAAAAAAAAAAATTCTGGTGGGTTGTAGTCTACAAAATGCAGTCCCTATGCTGAAGAACTCACTTTTTGACCCATACGGTCTCAGAGCTTGTTTTTAATATAATAATTTACTAAAGAACACAAGAACAGAGTATTGCTGTTCTAGGCCTGCTGGCAGTGCTAAGGTCCTGCCCACATTCAAACATAACATTCATCTATAACTGTGTACTGCAAAACCAGTGTTTTAATTCCTGTATATGAACATGAAATCATTGATAAAAGATCACTGCAGTAGGCCTATTGACCCATGCTAAGTCAACTATTCTCACTCAGTACTGTATCTCTCCAGATTTTGCAGCTTGTTCTACTCATCTATAACTCAGTTGCCAAAGCCCTTCTATTTCTGAATTTTTCTAATTGAATCCATTGTTTTGAGTTCTGTTTTTGGTAGATTTGTCCAGCACCTTATTTACAGTTGCTTAATAAATTACACCTATCACCAATATGACAGTATTTCCTCAGTGACTGAGGGGAGTTATCATCCAACAAAGACTTGAACCAAGAGTCACTTTTCTGTTCCTGATGAACAAACCACCACCTCACTACTAAAAATAATGACAATAGGAAGATGGGAAATCCTTCAGAAATAAAATGGTAGATAAGTGAAATGTGCTAAGAGAGATTGTATTATGCCACAAGTCCCTCAGATGGAAGTGCCTTGAAGTTGGTGAAGGGCTTTTGATCAAAGGAATTAAAGCAGCCTTCGCCTTCCTATGATCAGACTTGATTATCCCCCTTCCCTCCCTTTCTCAGATTCTGTATGACCCTTATGGGTTTACTGCTTCATGAGAAATATGATTTTTTTTTTTTTAACAAGTCGGCCTTCTCCCACCGAGGCAGGGTGACCCAAAAAGAAAGAAAATCCCCAAAAAGAAAATACTTTCATCATTATACAACACTTTCATCTCACTCACACATGATCACTGTTTTTGCAGAGGTGCTTAGAATACAACAGTTTAGAAGCATATACATATAAAGATACACAACATATCCCTCCAAACTGCCATATCCCTCCAAAACGGACTCAAGTCTGGCTATATAAAAATAACCAGTTTCCCTGAATCCCTTCACTAAATATTACCCTGCTCACATTCCAACAGATCGTCAGGTCCCATATACCATTTGTCTCCATTCACTCCTAACACGCTCACACACGCTTGCTCGAAGTCCAAGCCCCTCGCCCACAAAACCTCCTTTACCCCCTCCCTCCAACGTTTTCGAGGACAACCCCTACCCCGCCTTCCTTCCCCTACAGATAAATACGCTCTCCATGTCATTCTACTTTGATCCATTCTCTCTAAATGACCAAACCACCTCAACAACCCCTCTTCAGGCCTCTGACTAATACATTTATTAACTCCACACCTTCTCCTAATTTCCACACTGAATTTTCTGCATAATATTTACACCACACATTGCCCTTAGACAGGACATCTCCACTGCCTCCAACTGCCTCCTCGCTGCAGCATTTACAACCCAAGCTTCACACCCATATAAGAGTGTTGGTACTACTATACTTTCATACATTCCCTTCTTTGCCACCATAGATAACATTTTTTGTCTCCACATATACCTCAATGCACCACTTGCCTTTTTTCCTTCATCAATTCTATGATTAACCTCATCCTTCATAAATCCATCTGCTGACACATCAACTCCCAGATATCTGAAAGCATTCACTTCTTCCGTACTACTCCTCCCCAATTTGATATCCAATTTTTCTGTATGAAAATATATAATGAAAATGAATAAGACTTTTAAAATATATATGATTAAAAAAAAGGTAGGAAACCTAAATCCTAGATGTACTTGTATTGTTTTTTTTTTATTAACACATTGGCCATTTCCCACCAAGGCAGGGTGGCCCAAAAAAGAAAAACATTCATCATCATTCACTCTATCATTAAATGGGCAATCTAAATAGGTAATCACGCACATTAGAATTATTGCTTAAGATAGAAAAAATGGGTCCTTGGTTTAGTCCTCAACTTTAATTAAAAAAAGCAAGGTTGTCTGCAGTCCTTTTTTTATTATGGGGTATATTTATTATGATGCAGGACAAAGTTGTATGGAAATGTTCTTTATTTATTTTTTTTTTCTACAAATAATGTATGCTTCTTTTTATATCAACAGAGCCTTGAAGGGTTAGAGTGTCCTAAAATGAATCCAGAATGCAAGTTAAGGCTGGAGATGCTGCCCAGCCACATACCTCTCGCTGTTGCCGAAAAAATTCTCTTTATTGGGGAGGCCATCCTTGTGTTTGAGAGGGAGGCAAGAAAAGAAAATGGTAAGGCAGTTTTTTTTTTCAGATTTACAATGTTGCTGAAAGATCCTGGTAAGCAAACAAATGTGCCAGTTAAGAGATGTTACATGAGGTAATAGAAATACAGTATTAGGAAGATGGGACTATTTTCAGGAGTAGTTAAATGTGGATGATGAAAGTGGAGTGATGATTTTGTACCTTGAACAGGGAGGAGTAGGATTTGCTAGGGTAAGGGAGGAACTCAAGAGATGAATGTGCAGGAATTGGGTGAGGTAGAAAGCACTTTGAAATTGAAGCAAAAACTTGGTGATGGATAGAATGAGGACTTAAGATTGCAAAAACTAGCAAGGATATAGTTTTGCAGAAATACAGTATTCAGCATTTCGCTTTATGGAGTTGCGTTAATATGGCAATTTCAAATTATGACCAAAATTTGCTGTATGGCAAGCGATCTTTCAAATATGGCGCACCCCACCTGGTTTGTTTACATTCTCCGTGAGCACATATCTCTATTATGTCTGGAAACTTTCCAAAATTTCAAGTGTTTTAAAGTTGTTGTATACAGTGGAACCTCTGCTTGCAAGTTTAATTCGTTCCATGACCTTGCTCACAACTGGATTTGCTCGTTTGCAGAGTCAATTTTCCTCATTTAAATTAATTGAAATGCAATTAATCCGTTCCAGTAGAATTCTGTACTTCAATAATTTCTCTAATATCAACTCTATGACTTATTTATCTATCTCACTTCATCTAATCTTCTTTTTCTTCTTCAGCACACTGGCTGTATCCCACCGAGGCGGGGTGGCCCAAAAGGAAAAACGAAAGTTTCTCCTTTTACATTTAGTAATATATACAGGAGAAGGGGTTACTAGCCCCTTGCTCCCGGCATTTTAGTCGCCTCTTACAACATGCATGGCTTACGGAGGAAGAATTCTGTTCCACTTCCCCATGGAGGTAAGAGGAAATAAACAAGAACAAGAACTAGAAAGAAAATAGAAGAAAACCCAAAGGGGTGTGTATATATATGCTTGTACATGTATGTGTAGTGTGACCTAAGTGTAAGTAGAAGTAGCAAGACGTACCTGAAATCTTGCATGTGTATGAGACAGAAAAAAAAAAGACACCAGCAATCCTACCATCGTGTAAAACAATTACAGGCTTCAGTTTTAAACTCGCTTGGCAGGACGGTAGTACCTCCCTGGGCAGTTGCTGTCTACCAACCTACTAGCTAGTACTTCATCTAATATGACATAATAAACAATATAAATAACATAGAAACCTGATATATACTCTAAAATGAATAAAATATGTCATTCATGTAGTGGTATGGGTGGTGTTGGCAGTGGACGAGAGTTTGTCTGGAGACTGGGCAAAATACTTCATGAATAATTTCACTAATATCATCTATACTGCTTATTTATCTATCACAGTTCATATAGTATGACATAACAAACAATATGAATAACATAGAAACATGATATATACTCTAGAATGAATAAAATATGTCATTCTTTCTTCTTGTCTTTCAACAGACCGGCCGTATCCCACCGAGGTGGGGTGGCCCAAAAGGAAAAATGAAAGTTTCTCCTTTTACATTTAGTAATATATACAGGAGAAGGGGTTACTAGCCCCTTGCTCCCGGCATTTTAGTCGCCTCTTACAACACGCATAGCTTACGGAGGAAGGATTCTGTTCCACTTCCCCATGGAGATAAGAGGAAATAAACAAGAACTAGAAAGAAAATAGAAGAAAACCCAGATGGGTGTGTACATATATGTTTGTACATGTATGTGTAGTGTGACCTAAGTGTCAGTAGAAGTAGCAAGACGTACCTGAAATCTTGCATGTTTAAAATATGTCATTCATGTAGTGGTAATTGTATAAATATGTCAACCCATTCACGACTGCATTTTTTTTTTTTTTTATTATCACACTGGCCGATTCCCACCAAGGCAGGGTGGCCCGAAAAAGAAAAACTTTCACCATCATTCACTCCATCACTGTCTTGCCAGAAGGGTGCTTTACACTACAGTTTTTAAACTGCAACATTAACACCCCTCCTTCAGAGTGCAGGCACTGTACTTCCCATCTCCAGGACTCAAGTCCGGCCTGCCGGTTTCCCTGAATCCCTTCATAAATGTTACTTTGCTCACACTCCAACAGCACGTCAAGTATTAAAAACCATTTGTCTCCATTCACTCCTATCAAACACGCTCACGCATGCCTGCTGGAAGTCCAAGCCCCTCGCACACAAAACCTCCTTTACCCCCTCCCTCCAACCCTTCCTAGGCCGACCCCTACCCGCCTTCCTTCCACTACAGACTGATACACTCTTGAAGTCATTCTGTTTCACTCCATTCTCTCTACATGTCCGAACCACCTCAACAACCCTTCCTCAGCCCTCTGGACAACAGTTTTGGTAATCCCGCACCTCCTCCTAACTTCCAAACTACGAATTCTCTGCATTATATTCACACCACACATTGCCCTCAGACATGACATCTCAACTGCCTCCAGCCTTCTCCTCGCTGCAACATTCATCACCCACGCTTCACACCCATATAAGAGCGTTGGTAAAACTATACTCTCATACATTCCCCTCTTTGCCTCCAAGGACAAAGTTCTTTGTCTCCACAGACTCCTAAGTGCACCACTCACTCTTTTTCCCTCATCAATTCTATGATTCACCTCATCTTTCATAGACCCATCCGCTGACACGTCCACTCCCAAATATCTGAATACGTTCACCTCCTCCATACTCTCTCCCTCCAATCTGATATTCAATCTTTCATCATCTAATCTTTTTGTTATCCTCATAACCTTACTCTTTCCTGTATTCACCTTTAATTTTCTTCTTTTGCACACCCTACCAAATTCATCCACCAATCTCTGCAGCTTCTCTTCAGAATCTCCCAAGAGCACAGTGTCATCAGCAAAGAGCAGCTGTGACAACTCCCACTTTGTGTGTGATTCTTTATCTTTTAACTCCACGCCTCTTGCCAAGACCCTCGCATTTACTTCTCTTACAACCCCATCTATAAATATATTAAACAACCACGGTGACATCACACATCCTTGTCTAAGGCCTACTTTTACTGGGAAAAAATTTCCCTCTTTCCTACATACTCTAACTTGAGCCTCACTATCCTCGTAAAAACTCTTCACTTCTTTCAGTAACCTACCTCCTACACCATACACTTGCAACATCTGCCACATTGCCCCCCTATCCACCCTGTCATACGCCTTTTCCAAATCCATAAATGCCACAAAGACCTCTTTAGCCTTATCTAAATACTGTTCACTTATATGTTTCACTGTAAACACCTGGTCCACGACTGCATATTGGAATGAAACTGCCAAGCAATGGATCATTTCTCCTAGGTTGAGCTCAATTTCAAGGCACTTTTCATCATGAAAGCAATCAAAATCATATCTATTTCTGTAATGTATCTTCCATTCTATCAAATGAGACCAAAAAAACAAGAATACAACCATAAAAACCTTTTGAAATTACTGCTAAGGGGTGGCTAATTGCTGAGAAGTGAACTCCATTATTTATGCTTAGATTTCTTTCATTATTATTATTATTATTATTATTATTATTATTATTATTATTATTATTATTATTATTATTATTATTATTATATAAATAATTTGTAATTTTTATTCACACAAAAAATATAAGATATACTGTGACGTCATTTGTTTACACTGAAACAGCCAAGCAATGGACCATTTCTCCTAGGTTGAGCTCTATTTCAAGGTACTTTTCGTCATGAAAGCAATCAAAATCATATATATTTCTGTAATATATCTTCCATTCTATCAAATGAGACCAAAAAATCGAGAATACAACCATAAAAACCATTCAAAATTACCACTTAGGGGTGGCTAATTGCTGAGAAGTGAACTCCATTATTTATGCTTGGAGTTCTTTCATTTTTGGTGTACGTTAAGAAGCATCTTTCCATAATACATTGCCCAAGTTTCAATAAGATAGTCCAACAAACAACTGAGATACAATTCCCGAGATCAAGAGCAAGAGCCCCTCACCAGTGTCAAGGAACCTGCCTTGAGGTCTGCTCACTTGTGGAAATTTTGCTCGCGTATGGAAGCAAAAAATTGACCCATCAATTGCTCGTATTTGGAAAAACTCGCACGTGGACATGCTCGCAAGTAGAGGTTCCACTGTATTTTACATGTTCTTCCTTCAATGCACTGGCTGTATCCCACCGAGGTGGGGTGACCCAAAAAGAAAAACCATAGTTTCTCCTTTTACATTTAATAATATATACAGGAGAAGGGGTTACTAGCCCCTTGCTTCCAACATTTTAGTCGACTCTTATGACACGCATGGCTTATGGAGGAAGAATTCTGTTCCACTTCCCCATGGAGATATTTTATATGTACGTACCCTGATAATTATACTTATGTGTACCTGTACCTAAATATACTTACACACTGTGCTGGCATGCAGGTGCACATTAAAATCACCAAGAGTGTCTCTTCTCTTGATGCCATATTAATAATAATACAGTGGACCCTTGGTTATCGGCCGTAATCCGTTCCAGAAGCTCGGCCTACAATCAAAATGGCCGAAAACTGAAATAATATTTCCCATAAGAATTAATGTAATTACAATTAATCCGTTCCAGACAAAAATACAGTGGAACCTCTACTTGCGAGCATGACCACGTGCAAGTTTTTCCAAATACGAGCAGTCGATGGGTCAATTTTTTGCTTCCATATGCGAGCAAAATTTTCACAAGCAAGCAGACCTCAGGGCAGGCTCCTTGACACTGGTAAGGGGCTCTTGCTCTTGATCTCGGGAATTGTATCCCATTTGTTTGTTAGACTGTCTTATTGAAACTTGGGCAATGTATTCTCGTTTTTTTTGGTCTCATTTGATAGAATGGAAGATACATTACAGAAATAGATATGATTTTAATTGCTTTCACGACGAAAAGTACCTTGAAATAGAGCTCAACCTAGGAGAAATGGTCCATTGCTTGGCTGTTTCAGTA